AAAAGTTTATTTATAGAAATAATTAACCATCAAGTATAACCAGACTGGATTAAATGTAATGTTTTATTACATTTACAGACTAATGCAGAAACATTTCATGGAGCATTCATTTTTTTCAGTGCATAAAATATCACATAATTATCTTAGAAACAACCAAGTAACAATATCAGCCAGGGTCTTTAGCAGATGAAATGATTTTGATAAATGCTACAAACTATAGAATCAAAACATCAGTAACATGACAATTATATGTCTTTTTACATTACACCATTGTTCCCATGTTTGACCAAACTGTAAGATAAAGCGATGCTCACACAGATGATAATATTCAGTCTTTCCTCTACACTCATCTAGGCAGGACACTCAGGTATATTTACAGCTAAACTATATTTGGTTATTCATTTTATCTTTTCTCTCTTTTATTTTTTATTTGTTCAACACAGTCATCCTGTAGTTTACCACTGGACAATCCCTGACTCTTATTTTGAAAGTTTACCCTCTGAGAATCCCTTCAGTGTTTTCACACAGGCAGCTGGACCAGGGCCACTCTGACTCTTATGCTCCACGAGCCTCCCTGTTGAGAAACTTTGCATAGAGCTGTGGCGTCTGGGGAAAAAGCTCCTGACTGAGTCCTGCGAGACAAACTGGTTCAAGGAGAGGGGGCCGGACTGAGAGCAATCGGACAAGTCAGAGCTGGGAAACCTCAACAAAAAGCTGGAAGTTTCAGTCGCTCCTGTAGCCGGACCTGGGTGTGGATCTCCTGGGAGCAGAGCCTGAGACTGATCCAGAACTCGCTGGAGAGAATACATCTAATCTGATCCAGGATGGCCTCAGGACTCCCCGGAAGAGGTGACGAGGAGGAGGAGGAGGTCTGGAATACCTTCCAAGTGTACTGAAACCACAACCTCAGATAGGAAAAAGAGGATGCACGCGTGGATTGCAGATCCGGTATGTTAGAACGGCAGCGATGCTGTTCCTCTTATTCGTGCAGTGCAAACAGGCCTTTACTCTGAGAACTGAAACCCAAAATACCAACAGATCCCACAAACACACACCCACAGCTACGAGAACACACACTCGCACGAGCAGTTTGCAAACAAAGTGACTACACGCAGCCATGACGGCGGGTACGTACACAAACACGCTCAGAGGCACGTGCTGATGGAAATTCAAAAGCATCGGCGTGAGAACAAAAGCATGGCGAGAGGGCATACATAAACATTACACGTGCATGCATTATGCACAAACACACAGCCCATTTACCTCGCTCGCAGAGGTAAGAGCACGCATCATTTCACCCCCCCACTCCCTCTCTCCAGTCCCCAAATCCGTGGCATATGACCTTCTGTGGGACAGATAAAGAATGTGCTTATCAGTCATGCAAATGAGGCTGAATTCATTTTCCACAACAGATGGCCCCATAGATAATGATGATGGAGGAGAGAAAATTAAATGTCTCTCGCTCGGTGACCATGGCAACCGCGCCTCTGCGGCGTAATATCAATAATAAGTGTGCCGCATAATAAGGTTGTCAGTCCTGTGAATCAAAACCTCCCATGATGGGATAGGCTACAGGGGGTACGGTGGGGGGGTGAAGTGTCTTAGAAAGTTTGGCTGACTCCGTAGGGCGCAGCGGGGGCGCGGGCGGAACCGCCGCCGCGCTCACGTTAAAAGGAACCCCGACTATATCAGCTTGTTGGCTTTTGCTCCCAACGTCCTGTCCGTATGTTAAAGATGCACACATCCTTAATCTTGCTGTGTGCAGTGCACTCTGGGTACATCAACTGGTTTCATACCAGTGCTACTGTTTCTAACAGGCCTGAAACATGGCGTGCTTCCCGTGCACACGAGGAGGAGTAAGGAGCGAGACCCCCCGCAGCCTCTCCACGAGAGCCGCGGCTCTCCCCTCTCCCTGATGATGGAGATGGAGCAGCATTGGTAAAGCTTGAAACACTTTAGCTCACATCCATGACCAGTGAGAACCAGTTTGTTTAGTGTTAGG